TATTAATTTATTATTATATATATATACATATACATATATATATATATTTAATTTATATATATATATATATATATAAACCTATAGATGTATATCTATATGCCTATGTGAAGACACAGCCCCCCATAACATCCATCCACAACGTGACATGGCGGCCACAATGAAAGCATCTGCTAATCTAGCGCAGGGCGTGGGCTTAGTTTTGATATATAAACGCAAATAACCTTTACATTGATTGTGCATATCACAGGTACACACACACATACCCTGCTGACATTCTTTTTACTCAGGTTGATACTAACACACACACGTACTTTGCTGACATTTGATTGGCTCAGGTTAATTCTGAACATTGTCGTCACAAGATTTTCAATGCCGACTTCACCATCGACGGTCAAAAGAAGGACATCTCGCTCTTTGGAATGGTAGGTAGAAATTGGCAAGTACCCGCAGACTGTCAGTAAATGTAGTTCGTTCAACTGGTACACAGTGTATGTAGTATATATATGTATATATAGATATGGTAGGTAAACAGTGCGTTGTCATAACGGTAGGTAGAAAGGGGTTTTTCATAGCTTCGGTAAGTACTCGTAGACTGGTAGTATATGCGCATCGTTATGTTGGTCTCTCTGTTGGTGTATTTCTGTGAACTAACACTCAAACTCGATTGAGATGAAACCGCAGCCATTGACACGCATTCTTAGTGTATTCCATTACTCACAAGTCAGTCCTTTCTGCCGTGATATATATATATATATATATATACATATATATATATATATATGTGAGTGTCAAGTCTTGGAAAGGTTGATTCGCTGGCCTGGGATGGTTGCGTCCCTCACTCGCTTGCGTACTTGTTGCTTGTCTGATAAGTTCTTCAGTTGGTTTATGTAATGCCTTCTCTGTTATGTTATATATATATATATATATATGTGTGTGTGCGTCAATACAATACAATACAATACAATACTTGGCTTACATCAATTACTTCCGTTTGACTGCATCTAAATTATCTTCTCGTGTACACGCAGATCCGTAACACATACAAACAAACGCCCGAGGGCATTCTGTCAGCGTACAGCGACAACGCATCAGTTATTGAGGGCTCTAAGGCAACCAAACTGAGACCTAACCAAGACACGCACGAATACACAATGGTATGCGCAATTTATGCTTGTATGTAAATGTAAATGCATTTATGTATCTGTTAATGCATATATATATATATATATATGTGTGTGTGTGATTTAGAAGTATCTGTGTGTGGATGTTTTTTGATTAATGGGTGTTCAGAGTGTAGTGTGTTGAGTTATTGCGTGTGTGCTCAGTGCATGCTGCGTCAATTCTTCCTATCGTTAAAATATATACCAGAGAACGTACAAGTACAATGATTCATATATATATATATATATATTTATTATAACTGTATGGATGTGTGTGAGCGTGTATAACTACACGAATATAGCTACATCAATTCACAGAGGTCGCTGTGTGTATTCTGCTGACGTCCACCTACCTATTCACATGCTGACAAATATACACAGCACATGACCGGACCTCTGTCTATGGCATATATGTACCTTATACCTTGATATCATAGCATGTTCGAAAAAGGCGATTTCGAATCGATTTTATATTTTAAATTTTCATACTCATTGAATCGGGTACAACAGCATTCTCGAAAATATTTTAGTTCCGTTTTATACATAACTAAATATGTTCTGGTTCTTTAATATTTTAGTTCTTTAAATAAAGTTCTGTATATGAATGTTTACTACATATGCACACACACATACACACACACACACACATATATATATACATATATATGAGATTATGTAAGCCTGATTCCAACCTCTTTTATCAATTACACGCATGATACAGGAGCAAGAAGACGTGCACATTCTCATGAAAGTGGAGACGCACAACCATCCCACTGGCATCTGCCCATTCCCTGGCGCAGCCACTGGCAGTGGAGGAGAGATCAGAGACGAAGCGGCGGTGGGCAAAGGAAGCAAACCTAAGGCAGGACTATCAGGCTACAACACATCCCACCTGCGCATACCAGGCGCAGAGGTATGTGAACGGATATATATATGTACGTATGAATATATATACACACACACACATATATATATATATATGTGTGTGTGTATGGTTGATTAGTAACCGAGCCTGAATCTCAATTCAAAGTGTCTGCGGGTAATCGGAAGCAGCCTACGACTGGGCAATTAGAATACAACACATCACACTTATGTACACCTAGCACTACAAACACATTATGACAATGAACTAGATACAAACACATGTGCATACCTACCACTACAAGCTACGTCAACCAACTAGTTACAAACACGTGCTTGTAAGTTCATATAATACAGACAGAGAGAGGAGACACACCGCAGCACAGTCGGCAGCACAGAGTCAGCGTTAAAGGTTTATAAGAGGCACAAACACACAAACACACACGCACACGTACTAATTCACACGTAGACACATGTATACGTACTAATACACACGTTCACACACACACACGTGCTTATACACTCGCACACGCACACACAGACACACACGTATTTATACACACGTACTAATACACACGTACATGCACACACAGACACACATGTATTTATACACACGCACACGCACACACACGTACTTATACACACGCACACGCACACACACGTACTTATACACACGCACACGCACACACAGACACACACGTATTTATACACACGTACTAATACACACGTACATGCACACACAGACACACATGTATTTATACACACGCACACGCACACACACTTACTTATACACACGTACACACGTACATACTAATGCATACTTTGGTACCCATACGCACACTCACATACTAATACACGCACTTGTCTGTGTTCCTATGACCACAGAGAGAGTGGGAGAGCACAGCAGGTGTGTCTCCTGCGCAAGCGTCGGCGTTTAAGATTATGACTGAGGCACCTCTGGGCAGTGCTGCGTTCAACAACGAATTCGGTCGACCCGCCATCGCCGGTTACTTCCGAACTTTTGGAGACGAAATCCCTAATTCTGAGGTAAATTGGGATCGGCCCTTCCTGATTTTGCGTTCTCGAGATATGCCAAAAATAACCTTTCACTGAATAGCGGGCACAAAAATATACATATGTATATTTATATAAATATACATACAAACACTCACATATATATATATATATATATATATATATATATATTATATATATATATATATATATATGTGTGTGTGTGTATATATGATTATGTAAATGTATATGCATATGTATGTGCATATATATATATATCCACATATTTATCCCACACTTCCAACCAGCCACCTGTTTACTATTCTATTTCTTCACCTAAGCTCGTCTCTCTCCTATACCTACCGCTCTATGGGCCTTATCCATTCACAGGGAATGTACACTACAGGTTATAACAAACCCATTATGCTTGCGGGTGGAATGGGCAACATCAGAGCAGAACATGTCACCAAGGGACCAATGTCAGCTGGCGCACACGTGGTTGTGCTGGGAGGCCCTGCGATGCTTATTGGTGAGTGGCTGGTGCGTGTGTATCAACGGTTGCACTTAAATTACATCTATATATGCATATATATACTATTTTGTATCTATAAAATATATGTATATATGCATGACATTTACACAGGTCTTTATGCATACATAAAGCTATACTTCTTCATATTTTTAATTACATATCCATATACGCACGTCATTTACACGGGTCTTAATAGATATATATACATATATATATATATATATGTATTCTTTTCGCAGGTCTTGATATATTACAAATACCTATTCATTCACACACACACATGTGTATACCCTTTCCACAGGGCTTGGTGGTGGAGCTGCCAGTAGTATGGCTTCAGGCGGTAACTCTGTAGCACTTGACTTCGCCTCCGTTCAACGACACAACCCAGAGATGCAGCGCAGATGTCAGGAGGTCATAGACGCCTGCAACGCTATGGGTGTGTGGTGTGTATATATATTATAGGTATGGTGTATGCGTACTATGGTTGGTGTATATGTGATGTATGTGTACCCTGTGTAGTGTGTGTGATAAATATGTGTAATATATGTATTATATGATATAAATGTGTGAATCATGTGTACCTGTGTGTATTATATGTTTTATACATGTGAGTATCATATGCGTTATTCTTGTGACATGTTGTCCATATTCGGGTGTGGTTTGTGTACTTTGTAGCTGCTTATAGGGCGCTATCTGCGTAAACTTTTAGGGTTTTAGGTGGTAAGTTGGTGTGTGACATTGTATATGTATGTATGTACATAGAGACATACATACACACACACATATATACCTATTTATATATATATACATATACTCATCCCCGTGCTGTTGCCTGGTTGTTCCTTGCAGGTGATGACACCCCCCTTGAGTTCATCCATGATGTGGGTGCGGGTGGACTGTGTAATGCGTTGCCTGAGTTAGTGCATGATGGTAACCGCGGAGGTCACTTTGACATCCGAAAGGTACCCAATGCCGATACAGCCATGAGTCCCATGGAGATCTGGTGCAACGAAGCCCAGGAAAGGTAGGTATGGGGTACTGTGTGTGGCTATTTATAGATCTGGCTATAAAAGGTATATCGTGCCAAATTAGGTATCGTTTAATGGGGTCTGATATTGATCCTCATGGTTATCTGGCGTATTAAAACCGAGGGAATGTATGACTGTTTCTAGATAGATGATTGTTTGTAGGTATATCTTTTATAACGTGTATGTATACCTACTGATATTTATTTTTGTCCTTCAAATAGTATATGATTTCATCTGAGTTATGATTAATCAGCGGTTTGCCAAGTGCCTGTAAATGGACAATTGTGCGAAGGATAGCAAGGTTAGCACGTACTTGTGATACTTTCAATGCTGTTTAACATTGTACCTCATTTATGTAGGTACACGAGTACATCTCAATTTACATTTACATATATATATATATATATGATTTCATCCGCACACATACGAGCATATCCCGTGTAATGAGTATTGCATCTAATAGCTCATGTGCACCTTTTACAGATTTGTCCTGGCAATTAAACCAGAGGCAGGACAGCTGGCGCGGTTCGAGGCCATCTGCGCTCGAGAGAGATGTATTTATGCAGTGGTTGGCATGGCAACGGAGGATCACTCAGTCACAGTAGAGGATAGCCACAGCACCACCTCAGCCCAGGTCAGTACAAGTGTATGTATATGTCTGCCAAGACATGTATATGCGCATTTGTGAGAGTATTGATTTGAATATATATATATCTATACATCTATCTATATATATATTGTATATATGTATATGTATATATATGTGTGTGCGTGTGAATAAAAATGTGTATGCATATATATATGTGTGTGTGTGAAAAAAAATGTGTATGCATGGTATTTCAGGTGTTTTTGTTTGATGTTAGGGGTTGTCCTTATTCTGCGTGTAGGTTCAGTTTGGTATGTAGTAATTGCTGACACCTCAGCCAGAGCTTTTCATTCCGTTCTTTGTGTATGTACATGTTTTCTGTATGTGAATGTGTATATGTATGTGTACGTGTATATTTATGTGTATGTGTATGTATGTGTATATTATGTTTATGTGTATGTTTATATTTATGTACGTGTATATGTATGTGTATGCTGATATATTGTATGTAATTAGTGTATTTAAATATAGTGATACACTTATGTGAGAGTGCGTGGATGCCACTCAACCGGTAAATCCAACTGTCCGCTCTGATCACTGATTTGGTCACAAGCTTTTATTGGCTGCTATTAAAAGAATAAAGCTCGAGTACTTACATATACTTTAATATTGTAATTGCCGCAAGCAGACTGAAGACGGAACAGCGACCAAAAAAAGGAAAGACGACAGTCGACCTGGTAAATATCAAACTTGACTTCCTAGTATCGGATGAGCAAGGCATAGGGTTAGGTTTACATATGTATATGAGCATAGCATCGATCAGTGCGTACGTACAGCAAAGGGGTGTGGAGTGGAGTGGATGGTGACCTTATTCGACAATTCGTACATGTCTCTGTATATGTATTTGTATATAATATATATATATATAGTTAGACGATATATATATATAGTTAGACGATATATATATATCTCCTTCTTATGCTTGTCGAGATCACAATATAGTATGTACTGAAATTTTGCCCAGCGTGAATCAGTACGTCAGTACCTATGCGCATATGTACCCTGTTTAGGGTTCTACTTAGTCCTAAAACGTACTGTTGAGTGCACATGTCTACATAACATAGTCCGTTGTTGGTTAGTGCTTCTGGCTTACTCTCCCATTCGTCGCTGTCTCCACTTTAGTCGATCTGCCTTCCTCCGTTCTGTTTGGTAAACCGCCCAAGATGGAACGTAATGTGACCACTTGCCCTGTCCCAAGCCTTCCGCTTTTGGACTTGAAGGTACGACGGTTGTCCTGATACCTCTGTGGCACACCCCCCGCCACTATTTCCTTTTCCGTCTGGATTCAGGATCATGGAGTACATTTGTATTCTACACCGACACACACACTCTCTCGCCCTCAAACACACGCACACAAACTATATATATATATATATATATATATCACAGACACACACACACACACTCTCTCTCTCTCTCTCTCTCTCTTTGTGTGTGTCTCCCTGTCCCCTGTCTCCGGTGATTATAGCAGTGTTCAATTGCAGTGCAGCCGTTAGCGTTGGCATTGACCGATGACCAGTACTCACTGCCCACGCACACGCTTTGGAGTCGCATGTTTGCACCACGGACCAATGGAGAATAATTTCATTTAATTGGCCAGTATTAATAGATTGATTTCTATTTATATCCCACACATACACTCTTATTAACATCATTTCATTGGCCAGTATTAGTAGATTGATTTCTATTTACATCCCACACATACACTCTTAATAACATCATTTCATTGGCCAGTTTCTATTTCTATTCCACACATAAACTCTTTATAACATCATTTCATTGGCCAGTAATAATAAATTGATTTCTATTCATATCCCACACAGACTCTCTCCGTAGCCGCATGTCTGGACCGATCCATTTTCCTTCCGTTTCATTGGCTAATATTAATAGATTGATTTCTATTTATATCCCACACAGACTCTCTCCGTAGCCGCCTGTCTTGACCGGGTGCTGGAGTTCCCGGCTGTGGCGTCGAAGTCCTTTCTCATTACAATTGGCGATCGCACTGTCACAGGCCTAGTCGCACGCGATCAGTTTGTTGGCCCATGGCAGGTGTGTGTCTGTGTGTGTATTTATGTTATTTGTACGTGTATATATGTGTGTATGTATATGTTATGTGTATGTATGTATATGTGTGTATGAGGATGTATATGTCATTTTGTAAGTGTATGTGTATATGTTATTTGTATATGTATGTGTATGTATATGTCATTTTGTATGTGTATATGTATATGTATGTGTACACACTCATATATCCATTTATATATCTAACGAACTTCTTTACAGTCTATTTCCCAGTTCAACATCAATTCGTCACAACTCACCTATCGTATTTGTATGTGTTGTTTGCACACGTGTGCGTATAGGTCCCTGTTGCAGATGTCGGTGTCACGTGCGCAGGATATGCTCTCAACGACTACGCAGGCGAGGCCATGTGTATGGGAGAGCGCCCGCCAATTGCCGTTCTATCGGCTGCTGCCAGTGCCAGGTAGGTAGAACACGCACACATATATATATATATAGTTGTATCCTGTTTTATTAAATTGTATATAGACATCTTAAAATCAGCAGATGGGGAGTGTGCACCGTGTGGTTAAGTGAATTGTGGTGGTGTGAAGCATCAGTGTTGTCAGAGAGGGATAAGTATGCAAGTATTTTAGTTTGTTAGTACGGAAGTATGTTATATGTTAGTATGTATGTATGGTAGTATGTAAATATGCAAGTATTTTAGTATGTTAGTATGTATGTTATGCTAGTTTGTAAGTATGGTAGTATGTACGTATGCAAGTATTTTATTATGTTAGTTTGTATGTTTGTTTGTTAGTATGACAGTACCTAAGTATGTTAGTATGTATGTTATGTTCGTTTGTAAGTATTTTTTGTGTTAGTTTGTTAGCATGATTGCACTCTAGGCGAACGTGCTAAGCAAAACCCACCAGTACACTGCAAACGATCCCCTGAAGTCACATGCGCATTCCGTTCTATAAATATCATCCAACCAGAATGGCCGTGGGCGAGGCGATCACCAATATCATCGCATCAGACGTATCAGATCTCAAGAAAGTCCGTCTCTCAGCCAATTGGATGGCAGCGTGCACCGCTCCCGGACAGGTACGGACCACACCGATGTAACATTTGGCTCAATTACACCTGAGCAGTTGAACACGTGCGAGCGCTACACCTTGTGGCGAATCAAACGTTTACGTTTACTCAGGTGCACAATGCACCCAGATTTAAAAACAGGACTGTGTGAGCAGGTTTTAGGACTGTTTGTTTTGAGTAGATGTGACCCTATAGAACATACGGGATACAGTCACACCACCCACTGAGAAAAATTGGATGAGTGCCATGCTAGTTTGTTCTATAAATAGATTTTAACCTTACACCAATCAATTCGCAGGACGCGGCGCTCTACGAGGCCGTGGCGGCTGTGGGTATGGGTCTGTGCCCTGCCCTGGGCTTGGCTATTCCTGTGGGCAAAGACTCACTCTCCATGCGAACCAAATGGACCGAGCCACAGACAGGCGGTGTGTGTGTGTGCTACGTTTCTATACTTATTGTTCAGTTTATGTGATGAATAGATGGCTTTTACGTATCACATAGAACTATATTACGAATACATGATGGTGTATTTTAAATACGTACTATATAGAACTATGTTGCATATACATGAAGGTGTATTTTGAATACGTATTATGTAGAACTGTAACATATACATTACGGTGTATCTTAAACACGTATTATATAGAACTATCCTACATATACATGTCTGTTACGAATTATCACGTATCATATAGAACTATGTTACATAAAATTGGCTGTTACGTTTTCTTGTTTGTATTACATAGAACTATGTTACTACATGGCTGTTATCTATTCCAATTGCATAGACCTATAATACACCTTTATGTCTGTACGCATTCCTACACATATCACATAAAACCATGTGACACACACATGCCTGTTACGTACCCAATAGCTGACCCAGAGGCCATCCACACACCACTGCACACCACAATTGACGTTAACGGACTGACTTCCACCTGTACAAATGTCCGTATCTCATCCGCATACGCGTTCACATGCAGATGCCAAGGAAGTCGTGTCGCCGGTCACTCTAGTCGTGACGGCGTTTGCCCCCGTTTCGGATGTGCGTAAGACCTTGACTCCTGAATTGTCCTTTGAGGACGGCCCTACGCACCTCGTTGTGGTGGATTTAGGCTCAGGACAGAATCGAATGGGCGCCAGTGCCCTGTCGCAGGTGTACAACTGCTTGGGAGGTGTCGATGGGAAGGTATGCATGTGCTTGTGAGAGATAGAGAGAGTGGGTGTGTGTGTGTGTATGCATGTGCTTGTGTGTGTGTATGAGAGATAGAGAGTGGGTGTGTGCGTGTATGTACGTATGCATGTGCTTGTGTGTGTGTGTGTATGAGAGAGAGAGAGTGTGTGTGTGCGTGTATGTACGTATGCATGTGCTTGTGTGTGTGTATGAGAGTGAGAGAGAGAGTGGGTGTGTGTGTGCGTGTGTATATGCATGTGCTTGTGAGAGAGAGTGGGTGGTGGTGGGTGTATGTGTGTGTGAGTGCGAGAGAGAGAGAGTGTGTGTGTATGTGTGTGTGTGACAGAGAGTGTGTGTGTATGTGTGTGTGTGACAGAGAGTGTGTGTGTGCGTGTGTATATATATGTGTGAGTGTGTGTACCTGCAGTCTCTCTCGGATATACCTGCTGGTAGTTGCATGTATTCTACCTCGGACATGTATGCATGTGTTTGTGTATGTGTGTATGCTTGTGTGTGTGTATATGTATGTATGCGCTTGTTTGTGCTCATTCTGTTTCGCATATTTATGTGATCTGGTGAGTCTGTTCTGAATTGAACGGTATAAAGCTACGGATAGTGTGGACTGTCAAGATTCGGAAAAGCGCATAAACGGTATTGGGGCCAAGTGTATAGCGTCTTGTGCGAATATGTATACATATATACATATATATATATGTGTGTGTGTGTATATTATAGCTTTCATGTATGTTATTAGATACAAGCTATCTCTCCACACATATATATTTGTGTATATTGGTTAATATATATATATGTGTGTGTATTTGTATTAGAGCTTTTATGTATGTTGATTGGATACAAGCTATCTCCACATATATGTCTGATTCTGATTAACGTCCACTTCATCTGTCTCGCCTAAGCCTTCCCGACTGCAGTCCAATCCTTCGTTCCCATCACTCCCTCTGTTGCATCTCCTCTACGTATACCTCATCATAGGCACCCTCATTAATAGTACCCTACCTACCACTCACCCCCGTGCTCCTGTTTATTTGTCCAATACCAGGTTCCAGATGTCGACTCGGCCGATGTGCTGTTGAACTTCTTCAACACCATGACCGAACTAAAGCGCACAGACAAAGTGTTGGCCTACCACGACCGATCAGACGGAGGACTCATCACCACAGTCACTGAAATGTGCTTTGCATCACGCTGTGGGGCTGACCTGACTATTGACGCAGGTGTGCACTATATATATATATATATATATATATACCAGTGATTGTGTATGTGTTTGTGGTTAATAGATAGATTGTATACCCCATGGTAGGTATTCTCTTCGTTGGTGCATTGCATTGTGTCGCTAGTTGAGTCACTCTCTTGACAGGGACTATGGCATTCGTAGGGCTTGAGCATGTATATGGTTTTAGGGCTTTGTTTTATTCTAAAACCCAATCGACATGTATAGATTTGTTAGCTTAGCTAAGCCAATAATACTGTTAGTACCATGAGCCTGTCTATTGGCGTATTAGTGCTGGTTTCATGCATGGGTGTATATGTGCCTTGCCATTCGGCTTGCAGTTGAGTATACTAAATAAGACGTAAACGTTTTCCGTGCTCGGATATACTTGCCCGGTAGACTTCGTTATGGAAGCACCTTGTATGTATCTTACCTTCCGACCTTTGTCAAAAGCGTCAAGTACCGCACTTCATGTCTGTTCTCTATCATATACTGCATACAGATATATATATATGTGTGTATACGTATGCATGTATTGTATGTATGTATATATACATATATATATATATAACTCACCACATTGTGACGCATATGGTCATACTGGGCACATAGTATCTACCTCTCACTTCGCATTCTGCCTTTTAATTGGTGCAGAGGGAGATGGCGTCATCCCTGCGCTGTTCAACGAAGAGCTAGGCGGTGTATTACAGGTGCGTCATCGGCTGAAGTTTCTTTGTCTGACATACCTTTATAGAACTATGTACAACTATACAGTATTCATTTGCGTATACATATATATATGCGCAGACGTGGACATATGCATATACACAGACATATACATATAGACCATCTGCATCGTACGGGTGGGTGCCTATGTGTCCTAGAAGCATGCTAGTGCTGGCCTATTGACAAGGGGCTGTTGTGATACGTACTATATACCGGTGTTAATTATAAAACTGTATCTAACGACTACTGATACCCTTCCATCCGCCAATAGTCCACTTGCCATTTGAATTCTCGAGCCGATGTCTTCATTTCGTCTTCCGTCTTACTGGTTAATTGTCCACTAATCTAAACCCCTATAACCACTGATCTGGTCCCACGTTCTTGATTGTCTATACGTAAACGTCTATTCACACTATTTATTCATATACTAGGTGCGGTCGTCTGATGTGGAGGCTGTGGTCAACGCCTTCACTGCCGCGGGTGTGCCAGCCGCTGCCATGGGAACGCCCGTTGCCAAGAGCAAGGACATCACGTTCAAAAGCAAGGTAGCCTTTACATGCAAAGTCGCGTGTACTCTGTATATATATATATATATAGTGACGAGGGTTTCTCCAACATGTGTTGGTGTGGCCATGTCGCAAGCAGTTGGTTGTAGCACAGGGGAAGCCACCTACAGCAGTTGTTATCGGTTCAGTACATTGGATGATATATTAGCAGTGCGGAGCAATTAATATATATATATATATGTTTATTATATCTATTATATTCATGTGTATGTATATATGTATTCTTATGCCATTATGTCCATACCGTAGGAACTATATTGAACGCATACCAGACACTGTAACATTCACTTCTGCCGCTAAATTAACGACGTCGTTGAGCCGTAGTCTGAGCATCAAGATGAACCTAATCACTCAATATATATATATATACCCTTTCACCATCTTCGTTCTCCATGACTTATCTTGCTGCAGGCGACTGGAGGAGTGGTGTACTCGGGTGATCGCGTACAGTTGTATCGCAAGTGGTCTGAGGTTTCTTACAACATGCAGAAGCGCCGAGACAACGCCCAATGCGCTGAGCAAGAGTGGGAGGCTCTGCTGGATGTATGTACTATTTCTTGTATATGTGTGTCATGTGTACGTATACTTACACATATGCATATACAAATACATATTCTATCCCCATATCATGCAACTAAAAGTGTTCATGTAGTATATAATCATATATATACCCCAATAGCATGTAACTAAAAGTAATCATGTAGTAAATATTCATATACGTATCCCCATCTCCTTTTGGAACAATACTCATATACATGGAAGACTTTACATACCTACACCACCTACCAACGTCACCCTCATACACCTGTCTATACACCTACTCAAACTCACTACTGTGCATAACCAAGACGCTATATTCAACTCCTTATCTTCTTTCAGGACTCAAATCCAATTTAAATGCCAATCTCTTTTCAGGACTAAACTCCATTTCAAATCCCAATCTCCTTCCAAGAGAATATGTTATTATATAGTGGACGGCAATTCCTATTCTTTCGAAAATAAATGTACTCAAAGTGAACTAAACTCCAATTCAAATCCCAATCTCCTTCCAACACTAAACTCTAATTCAAATCCCAATCTCCGTCCAGAACTAAACTCCAATTCAAATCCCAATTCTCCTTCCAGAACTAAAATCCAATTCAAATCCCAATTCTCCTTCCAGGACGAAAACCCAGGTTTGCACCTATCCCTCACCTACGAGCAACAACCCACCCAAACCCAAACCCAAACCCAAGGCAAGCCACAGGTGTGTGTGCTGCGTGAACAGGGTGTCAATGGCCAAGTGGAGATGGCTCAGACTTTCATGCTCGCAGGCTTCAAATGCGTCGATGTGCACATGACAGACATTCTCAGCGGAAAGGTGACGCTGGACGCCTTCTCCGGGCTTGTGGCGTGTGGTATGTGCGTGTATGTGTCTGTGTGTATGTGTGTGTGTGTGGTAGTATGTGTATGGTTAATTGTATACGCGTGCCTTCGACTTGGCTGCTTCTATGTGTATTATAGTTTCTCTGAGTGGGCGCTGATAAGGTGTGCGTGGCATAGCTACCAGCTATGTATAGTATACCTCTGTTGCATGGATACCTATGTACGTCTATTGTTACACGTAGTTTCGCGTATATGTATATATGTATGTGTATATATGCATGTATGTATGTGCATGTTTATGTATTTGTATTTATATATGACCAGGTATTAAGTGACTTCAGTTGATTCTTCCCATAAACGCAGCGGTGAACTCGTGTGTATTTACTCAAAAATATAGACATGCATTAAACATATACATAATGTTCGCGCGCTCTACACCACAGGACAATTCCTACATACAGATGTACCTATCTACATACAGTTGTACCTACCTACATACAGATGTATCTACCTACATACAGATGTACCTATCTACATACAGATGTACCTACTCTCACAGATAGAACTTATAAACTTACCTACAAGAACTCACATGTCTCGTCACAAGCAAGTGCCTTGAACGTACACTTCACGCATATAGACATACTATACTCACTGTACATATACACATTCACATCCACATACATACGCATATACGTCTTTCTCACACATACACACAGGTATCTAAACTCGCATGCACATATACACATATATTTATTCACTCACATACACACACATATACATCACCTCGCAGGCGGCTTCAGTTACGGAGATGTCTTGGGTGCAGGGGCTGGTTGGGCCAAGTCCATTCTCTACAACAGCGGTGCACGCAAGACCTTCGCCGAATTTTTTGGCCGAAAGGATACCTTTGCACTGGGCGTGTGCAACGGATGCCAAATGATGAGCGGCCTCAAGGTATGTATATATATATATATATATATATACTTAGCTTCTTTTATACTTGCCGACTTACCTATGCTTGCCTTCTTACCTTCTTACCCATTTACCTTCTTTCATACTTACCTACTTTCCTTCTTTTATACTTTCCTACCTACCTATGCTTACCTTCTTTGATACTTACCTACTTACCTTCTTTCATACTTCCCTACTCACCTTCTTGCCTACTTACCAAAACCTTCCCACTAACCTACCATTCGTGTCTCGATTCACAGGAACTCATCCCCGGTACGGAGCATTGGCCGCAGTTTGTGAAGAACACCAGTGACCAGTTCGAGGCACGCGTGAGTATGGTTGAGGTTATGCCCAGCAACAGTGTCTTCTTCAAAGGTGTGCTATCTCTAGCATGCGATGGGTTGATGGGTGTTTAAGGGTGTTTGTACGAATGTTAGTATATAGTGTATGTTTGTGTTTAAGAGTATAGTGTATGTTTGTTTCTACTGATATTCCCTCAGCTGTTGGTGATGTTTTATGTCCATTGCTCTGTACTAGCGTGCCACCCGAAGGGTTTAGCAACATACAATACAGTCTGAACAGGGTTTAGAACCCTAGTCTTAAACCCCCTATGCAGTTAAGGATTGTTGAGGGTATCACTTACAAATACATACAGTATATTAATATCTATGAACAGCACAAATTTTGCGAATATCTCCCTTCTATGCGGCACGACACAGTATAAGTACTAAATAAAACCCAACTCCGATTCTTTGTTCTATTTATAGATATGGTAGGTAGCCGGATTCCAATTGCCGTGGCCCACGGAGAAGGCCATGCACTCTTTAGCTCACCCGCCGATCGCGCAAGCGTCACCACTGAAGGTATGTTGTACCAATGCATAGCTATCACTATGCAAGTGTACATATGTGTGTGTAAGTGTACACATGTGCGTGAAAGTGTATACAGGCGCGTGTGTCTGTATGTATATATATATATATATATGGTTGTGCGTTTGTTCTCATCTAATCATGTACTGTGAAGTGGTTGTGTTTTTTATTGGGGGGTTTTTTTTCGTGTTTTTTAAATCATTGCTTTATACTTCAAGTGAATAGGATCACACAATTGATTGTGTCCATTCGAGAATTATATCAATCCACGCTCACTGACATAGAACAGCAAACATGTCTATATTTAAGCTGGAATGCGTCATATGCGTGCATGCATGCATATTAAATAGAATGCTGGTGTGTGTATTACGGCTGACATTGTACATCCCTACCGGTGTTGTGAACCAACTCCAAAGAAGTAATGGCTGCCGCGATTCCTCTGCACATGCCTTTCCCTTTCTCCAACCATATATATTATATATATATATATATATATATATATACCTGCATTGAGAGCACAACTCTCACTCCCAATTACTTCGTGTACCTATATAGGTATGGTTGCTCTGCGGTATGTGGACAACTACGGTCAGCCTACTGAGGCGTACCCCGCCAATCCCAACGGCTCGCCCGACGGTATCACTGGGTTAACCTCCAAAGATGGGCGTTTCACCATTATGATGCCCCATCCCGAAAGAGTGACAAGGTATGTTATTCTCTTGTTTTGTGTGTGCGTGTAGGACTGAGGCCACTCCAAAGCTATTTGTAAACTATATAATGTATTCTGAGCTCGTGCATAAATTTTGCTATAAGGCGAGGTTGTGTGTATGGTACGACTACTCGAGGATACATGCAAACTAGCTTGTTTTCTATGTGTTTGAAATTCCTAGAGACAAGGTTTTATATACTTACAATACAATGGCTATGGCATTATCACCCATCTTTCAGATCCTATAGACGAGGTTTTATATATACTTACTATACAATGACTATGGCACTATATCACCTGTCTCTCAGATCATTCACCAACTCTTGGTATCCTGGAAAGCGTGCCGGAGTATCTACAAATGCCGCGGACGAGGGTGCCTGGTTGCAGATGTTTAAGAATGTGCGAAAATGGGTAGCCGAGCAACAGTAGAGTAATCTAATTATATCATCCAATGGATGCCCACTTTTCGACTTCGACAGTCCGTACCTAAATTGTAACCCTAAAATCAGAGAACCAAGGGACTATCTGATACTTCACTAATTTTGTCGCGTCAAAAAAAAGGTCCGATATTTAGTAAACATATGAAAACATGTCTCATGCTATTCCCTTGATTGTACAAATCTTCTTTTGCCTTAAAACAAAGTGATCCTCCTTTGTTAAAACTGTTCATGGAGTGACCGGGAAACGGGAAAACGGTGCACCTCTTTGGCAACTCGCTCATAAGGGTGGATCTCAAAGTTGAAGAAAAAAAATCATGTCAGGTATGGCGTGAAAATGGGGGGCGGAACTATGGAATGAGAAATTGGACTATGAGGCTCTCGATTATATATCTTCTAAGAAGAACAGCGCATACGGAGACTTCTATGGTATTTTATCTTCTGAATCTGTAGGTGAAATGAGCTAGTCAGAGGTATGCTGGGGTGGGTGGGCGGATGCCCAGACAAAACGTAGGGTATGCTAAATACATTCCATCCAAGGTATGCTGAACAGAACAGTTGACAAATAGATACGGAAGATAAATATCGATTTGTAATGATTTTAATACAGAAAGGTGTATTTCAAATTCGAACATGAATGTAAAAATATCATCTAGCCGGAAATCGAATCCGGGTCTACCCCGTGGCAGGGGGCAATTATACCACTAAACCACTAGATATGTGTTGTAGATTCATCTGTTTTATAATTTATAATAGCGACTATTGTTTATACTTTCAAATATGAAAAAACGTGACATTGTAGCGTATGGCCCTCTGGCCTATACCCTGTAACCAGATAGTGTCTCATCTAAATTAATCAATTTTTCTGCGAGACTCTCCGCAGAGACGCTGATGCTAACATCGTAAGGTATTTATAACGTTCCCGTTAATAGTTGAAAGCTGAACGTATATTGCCGTAGTTTGTTCGGTCCAGTATAAATGAGAGGGGGTCAAATTTTAAGTCTAACATGTCGTCAAGTTTTGTTCTTCTCATTCCTTGATCTATTGTGGCCAAATATATAGTAGTAGGTACTATGTACACTGTCTTTAGGGTTTAAGACAGCAATTTAGAGGTCGCGCTGACCGATTTTCTTTTGGCCAATATAGTATAGCCTTCTCAAATACTCAAATGAAGGCTATGAATATAGAATGTGGTTTTTTGAGAAGGAGGCTATGACAGAGCCCTCTCAAAACGACACAGTACTTACAAGCTACACATAAATATTTATACGTTTACAATACGTATTCACATTTGTATTCTATTTGTTTTTGCTTCGTTTTGGTATGCTTTCTATATATCAAATCACAAATAACGCAATTTATTTATTTTTAACATAAATATTAGACGAAAAATAAATAAAAGTTACTTTTCAAAACTTTCACGGGCTTCACCATCTGCGGCAATTTCGACTATCTTCAAGAACGTGCTTCGAAACCGTTTTTAGGAGGTGGCAAAACTCTTGCAATTTCAGAACCCAACTAATTTTTAGGGTTTTAACGATAGCCTTCTGTAATTCTGTTATTATTCCAGGAGGCTATGTTCTGAAGTGGGGAGTGGGGTCCCGGACCTCGTGACTACCACTCTACCAGCCGACAAAAACGTAAAAGGCTAAAGGCTAACAACTCAGATTCTGCGTTTTTATAAAAAGAAGCTTGGGAGTTGTTGGTGCTCTCAAGTATTGTTTTGAAAAAATGAACAAAAGGTGGAAGAAAACGTGCTTTTTTGAACTGTGAAGTGTGAAGTTGTGAAGTGGTGATCAGTTGACATCTCACATCACTGGCATCAGAATTCAGAGACTTCAGACACATGAAAACACATCATGATGTGTGCACTGTGTAGAGTGTAAAGTGTAGAATTGTAGACTGCAGAGTGAGAAGAATGTATCTTGGCCTGCAGAACTGCAGTCTGCAACTCTGCACTCTGCAGTCTTGTTGCAGTCTTGTTGTTTGTAGATGATGTTGCACAGTTGCAGACTTGCAGACTGCTGTGCAGTTGTATGTATTTACAGGTTGCAAATGTAAATGTATTGTCGTTGTTTCTTGTAATCTGGACGAATGTATCTGGCTTAAGTCTCCAAGAGTCAAGACACAATATCATACAGAAAATAGAAATTCAATGTCACAAAGTCACAAACAGCCAAACAGAGAAGTGAGATTTGTGATATATGAGTATTCCTTCCCTCTGATCAGGATTTAGGCCTCATCAGGCTTCAGACTTCAGACTTCAGACGTCAGTCTTGTGAGTGGAGAAATTGACGTTTTTTAACAAGACATCATCCACATAGAGATAGCCATGTTTTTACTATTTAGATTGTGACTTGTTAAGTTGTGAGTGTTGGCCTATGTCTGTGGGGGCTATGGGGCTCTCTGGTGGACTGGACTTTTGAATGTTACCCCGTAGGGATATGTGTCCTCGCGGGGATCATCACATCCCTCTAGAAACAGTGACATGATACGACTCTCATGGGTTTTATTAAGAACCTTCAGTTGCCCTCAGCTTTTATAGCTATATTAAACATTTTTTGATGTCGTGATAGGATAGGATAGGAGAATAAATTGGGGGGAGTAGGCTTGGAAACGGCCTCTTTTAAAGAAAACGCGGTATCGGGGGGATTATGTCACACTGTCATTATATATATATATTTAAAGTAAGGCAAACAAACAAACTCTGCGATCGTGGAGACGTCCGCGAGAGGGCAAGACGTACATGATGTAGACCTAAATATGTATGAACTATGACAGTATGAGGCGTTACGCGTTAAATAGTCGCGAGCAGTGTGGCGTCAGGCGTGAGCTCGATAGCCTGTGTACTGTGAAGAGTGACTCTGGGTGAGCAGTGCGAGCCTGAGCCCTGATTGTGAGTCTGTGACAGCCTGTGCAGCGTGAGCAGTGTGAGGCTGAGCCTCTGAGGCCCCTGGAGTCCTGGACTGTGAGCCTATGAGCCGTGACGTCATCAAGTCTGAATTATATACGCAGCCTGAGTCTGAGTCACCTGACAGGAGTCACAGGACTGACAACCTGGCACTCAGATTTGTTTTATATTATTTAGTTAAAAAAAACAAAATCATATTTATACATATAATAGAATAAAAGACATTTTTTTTTTACGGAATATACTGTTGTCACCGATTCGTGCATATTTGATTTTTTTTTTAAACAATATTTATGATTTTTTTCTTCTTTCAAAAGCAAATACTATTCTGAGGCTCTCTGACTTAGGCTTCGGCCCTTGGCCTCAGTCTTGTCTGAGGGCACAAGAAGGCCACTAGCCCCACAGCCCCACAGAGGCTTTCGATATAGAAAAATGTAAAAACAACCCAAAAGAAGGGGGGGGAAAGTCCTCTCTTGTGAATAGGGTAGTTGGCGATATATTTAAAAAAAAGATTCTGGTCTTTTATAAAAAAAGAAAAAAGGTTTTATCACTACTCCGAAACGCTAAATATTCAACTCTGCACTCTGCACAGGTGACAGACCGGCAGTCCAGCTGTTCGGCGTTCGCTGAACGTTTTTCGGTTGGTTTTGGACTTTTGGTGCTCTTTTCTAAGTTTACCAAAATTCACACCGTGAAATCGTGAATAAATAGTGATTGATGAATGATGCCTGAGCCCTTAGAGCAGGCCTCATTACGTTGAGAACGTTTAGCGTATAAAACAACGCGTGAAATTTGACCTGAAATTTTCACGCAATTTCGACCTGACAAAAAAAATCGGCTACGAACTCATAAGACCCAATCGAAATCGAGCATATCTCGTTGGCAGTTACACAAAATTCACAGACCTTACAGAGTCACAAAAACAGTCACACAATCACAGTGACACTTACTGCTACAACACACTTGCACATACTTAGAAAAGTACATTGGCACATGCACACGCACACTTACCGTCCTATCCTGACTGTTCTTAGACGTATACTAGTATAGACGGGCACTTAGCTATGTGCCCCGGTACCACAGCGGCTGTGAATACGATCGATCTCACCCGCTGTCAGCCATGCGTCGATCTCACCATAAATACTGATCTCACGCATATTGAAGAAGTGAGCGATTGCAGAGTACCCATCGTGGACGTTATATAGCGTGGTACGAGGTAAGGATGTACAGCACCAGTACAACAGTAAAATTTTGGAAGAAATCATATTGAGATGTGAGTTATCTTTCGAAGTGCAGGCTGTGATGTTTGTGCACGTTCTCTCTAATATTGCCGGAAAGCCAATGTATGAGAATTGGCACCGGATCAAGTGGAATCAGAGTTCTGGTTTGTGTACGTTGATGATCACGGGCAGTGCTACAAATACTAACAACGACATACTTCAGTGTAACACTACTATGGTAACAATTCTTGCAGTGCATACAAGTAAGCGTTTCTTTCTCTAATCCTATTCTAGCAGCAGTTATCACGAAGCTATCGCTCTTGACAGGATCAACAGCTCTACCCATACTGAATAAATTATCTTCGCAGTAAATAAGTCTAGCTTAACTTCTATACTCGATGTGCTTAGATCGAATAATGTTCTGCTGTCTGCGATCTTGTGATTTACACCTATTTTTTCACACCAGACTATGCTATAGGGAATAGGTTACTAGGGCTTTAGGGCTTATTGGTCACCAAGATATCACAATAGTCGCATGTAGTTTTACATGTCAAGTGTCAAATTTGTCAACGAGCAGAAAGGACAAAAGGCAAATGTCAGCCTGTCAGGCTGGGTCTGAAAATTAGACCCCATAGTAGGTTTGGGCCACTGTATATGAATATAAACGCTCAACGAATAACGTTTACATAAGTTTTTAAGCGTTTAACGTATAACGTAATGAGGTCTGCCTGAGAGGCCGAGGCCGAGGGGCCCTGGGCCCTGAGGCCCCTGACTTGCCTGAGGGCTGAGGCCCTGAGCTTCTGGATTTGCATTCTGCAGTTGTGAACCCTATATTATTATTTTTGAAACAAGGAGAGGCCTGACAGACTAACTGAAGACTGAAGAGTTGAATAATCTGGCACCTAGTAAATACCTAAATATGGAATAGATTAGGTACAAAACCATACGGCATATTTAGCTATTTACAATACGTAATAAATACAGCAACAATTAGCCTTAATTTTTTTTTAAATTATACAACAATGTACAGTTGTCAGTATGCAACTATGCATGTTTCTTTTATGTTTTCTGGAGTTGTTTTTTTTTTCAATCGAAAAATCAAGAAAAATTGTTAGAAAACCCCAGAAACGAACAAAAAGTTTTGCTTTGCTTTTTTAAAAACAATCAAACCCAAAACATAACACACAGATAAAAAGATTTTTTTTTTTTAAATGCAGTTGTTTTTTCTCTGACAAACAAATGCTCCGTGATTCTTTTTTAAAAATATACGCCATAGTGCCTTAACTTTCAAAAATACACGACTTTTTTTATATTTATTCGGGATGTGTGTTTTTACCAAACAATATATCCAAATATAGTATGTATTGATGTGTTTTGTACTTACGTTTTGTTAAAAAATATGTACATGTTTACTCCTGTTTTTTTCGTCATAATTTTGAATATAGGCTTTTTCTATATATTTACATATATATGATTGTTTGCCGATTTGTCGACATTGGCGTTGAGGCTGAACCGCTCAAGGCCCGGCTAACCTCTTTACGTTCCGACATAGGGGCTTATACGATCAAAGAGCAACGTTTAACGGGACAATTAAAAACGTGGTAACGTATACTAGATTGGCCTAAAAATCAGCTAATCCAATATTTTTAGCCACATAACGCTGTGTAGATCAATAAACGAGTGAGAATAAGGACAAAAGATGGCGACATTCTTGACTGAGCATTTGGTCCCCTTAATATATAATGGACCGCGCTATGGTAAAATATACGTTCAACACTCCTTGTTTATCGGGTAGAATTTCAACGTAGACACGTTATACGTTATGAGGCTAGGGCACAAGGCGTTGGCCCTTTAGGTGACAGACTTTTTCCTAGGAGAGAGGCAGAGGCTAACCGGGTGACTGTTGTTTTCGTTTAAAAAAAACAACCACGAAATCGAAGGGAAAAAAAACAATCGAGTAAATGTAATTATGTAAAGCACTTTCTGTTTTAGTCTTGCTTTTTCTAAACCAAAAAAGCTTTACTCAGCTGGTTTTCTGCTCTTTTGATTGGCAAGCCTTTAAAACACGTGAATTGCGATGGGCGCCAGCGGTCAGCCGCCAGTGGCCCCAGGCGTTATTTATGTAATTTACAGCTGTGGCCTCACAGCCCTCGCTGGCCTGTGAGACAACCTTTATGGGGATTCGGAATAGAAGTTGAACGTAATCGCATATTTCTTCAGTTTTGAAACGTTATCACGGTTATAATGTGATTAGAAGGGCCTACCTACGTTCTTTTATAGAAAAATAGGACTAGTTCATATGGTGAAAATGATACACACTCAAATGTTTAGACCCACACAGTACACCTGTCCGCATAAAAAGGGCCACATTTTGAATTGAAGTTGAACGTCAACGTATATTTATTCGATTTATAAACGTTTAAATGGAAAAGGGTGTGAGGTTAGGATGTGAGCGTGAGCATGAGCTGCCGTGCGGTCGTGAGATGAGAGCATTGTAGTAAAAATTTTATTTTTTATTTTTTAAATATTAAAGCCATATTTCAAACAAGAGAGGGTTGAAGCTCATTTACTTTTCTATTAAAAAACGATAACAATGTATAATTAAATACTCTCACTGTACATTTAGCCATAGCCCTCTTAGGCTCTGGCTCTAAAATGAAAAATCGAACATTTGTACACAGGTGACAGGGCTATGTTTAGCTATTGTTTTTTTTCGGTTTTTATTGATTCCTTTTTCTATTCGAGTTTTTTTATCTAGAAAATATGTATTTACGACAAAGCATTTTTAGCCTTCTAAATTTGATTTTTTTTAACTAAACAGAAAGGTACAGTATTTATATTGTTTATTTCAAGATTTGAAAACACTAATAAAGCTAAATAGTAGATGGCTGAATTAAGTGAATAAATATCCTCAGATAGAACAACGTGATGCTTCTATTTTGATGAAGAAAACCCAAAACACATACAATTTTTTATTTTTGGATTTTATTTTATTTTTTAAACAAAAACATTTAGAAGTCTATGAATTCTTTATATTTACCGAACACTATTTGTTTTTGTGGAGATGTGGTGACTGGGTGGGTACAATTGTACCTTGTACTGTATAATATGTTTTTTTTACTCTGATGATTCGTCTCTAATCAATTTATTAACTCTTCTCGTGACTACAAACATATTTCACATCTAATATTTTTAACAAATATACACTTCTGTTTTTTAAACGAAACATTCGTTGTTTACAAGTCGCGTCTGTATTTGTATTTTTTTTTGTTAGAAATCAAATTATTTATAACTATTTACCAAGAAAGCTATGGTTTTTTAATATATTTTTATTTGGCGGTTTTAAAAAATGCAGAGATTCCGATGCATTGGCGTTAAACCTTTAACGTTTTGTCTCCTTTTCGACATGTATAAGGTCACTCAGGCCTATTATTATATTTAGCTTTTTAACTAGTAGAAAAGGCCTGTACGTACTTAGAACGCTTAAATATGTTAATATTTTGTTCTAAAAAGTATTAGTCAGGAATAAAGAAAAATCGAATGAAAATGCTTCTCCATGACAGACGTCAGTGTTATGTTTTGACATTTCTTCACTCTGAATGAGTATATGACAGTATGAACTATGACATACACAAGAAGAGAAGAGAAAAAATAGACTATGTTCACAATTTCACAACACATGAATGATGAATATATATGTACATAGCAGCTCTGAGTCTGACCACTGAGTCGGGAGCTGGAGTAAATTTACTCTACTCTGCTCTGTGACCTTGAGATAAGAAAAAATCTCAACTGAAACAAAAATTAAAAAGAACTTGTTGGGAAAAATAAATATAGTAAAACTTGCAGCCAACAACAAATTATCATCACTATTGTTTTTTATCGTCCAAACTGAACTACAGAAGTGAATTGTTTAGTTGGCGTGTATTAGAGCTAATGGTCAGGAGCTGAGATGGCCGCAATTATAGAGCTGGGGTCCACACCACACGACGGACTGGAGGAACAAGTATACGTACGCAAAAGTATCAAATATGTTTTGCCTAATGACAGTGTGCAAGACTTTATCAATCGTATACAGACCACACTCACCGTTTCACCCTTCACCCTTCCATCCGGCGAGATTGTAGCTTCACAAATGAACAATAGCTGCTATTTTGATGATGAGTACCTCAACATGTATAAGGAGCGTGTAGTGAAGAACGAGGGTGCTGAATTGTATCGTGTACGTTGGTACGGTACATCGTTGAAACCTGTCGAAACCCTTTTCATCGAACGTAAGCGACACCATAACTACAAGGAAGTTCAGAAATACAGCAACAAGAAGAGACTGGATCTTCCCAAGGAAGAGATGAATAGGTTTCTGACTGGTACGCCGATTGAAGAGTTAAATTCGTCCAAAGACAAATTAGCCGGAGACATACAGGCAGCCATGATGCATTTGCAGCCAAAGATTCGTACCCAGTACCTGAGAACTTCTTTTATGACCCAAGCAAACAAAGACCTGCGAATTACCCTTGACAGAGATATAGTTTTGTTTTCTGAGCCAAACAGCTGGGCTGAAATTGCGGCGGCAGATGGCATTGGACAGGGCAAAGGCGTGAGGATGCCCTTCACGGTTGTTGAGGTAAAAGTGGCTATGGGTGAAAGTGGTAAACCTGAATGTCCTGATTGGATACACACTGCGTTGATGGAATGTATTGCAAGGAAAATCAAACTAAGTAAGTATGGATACGGCTGCATACAATTCTACCCCATACAAGCTCACCCGTCGCCTAAGTGGAAGCCCGAGGTAGAAAGGTGGAGTGAGCAATTGACCTCGAGACCGGCAGATATTACTAGCGCTGGCTCGCTACTAAATTCTGGCCATCTTGCGCCACTCGCGACGAGCTATGTTCCTGTCAACGACAACCATAACAAGGAATACACATATGCTTGGTTACAGAATCAGTCTGAAAAGTGTACCACAGTGGACATATCCTCCACTAAATTGGTCTCCAGCGATGAGAAAGTGAAGCAGACAGGCAAGAACACGAGAAATATATTCCGCACGGCTAGACGACATGGACTGAATCGCAATGGAAAAGCTTTCATGGCGAACGAGCGTACCTTCCTCAATTATATATAATGGACAAGTAGTTTAGCTACGTTCTGTGTAGGGCTGCTGCAGATTGCCTCAGGAAATGAGGTCTTGTATGTATCAACTGCGATAATCGCCTTCTGTGACGTACTTATCATGTATGCGACTATAATCTATCATTTGCGACGTATTACTTCGTGAATAATATTACGTCGAAAGGTGGGCGTGTACCGAGGTCATTTAATGAATGGAAAGTTATATCGGCCATTATGATCATGTTCTTCGTTGCGGTCAATTCGTACATTATCTACTTATGGGTAGCGCACCTATCACGTTCTTCCCTTGGGACTACTGTTGTATTACCAGTATCAAGGTAACCCAGTCAGTACAACAAATTTAGTGATCGACATAAAATAGCAACCGCGCAGCGAACTCGGTGATCAAATCAAGTACGAACCCCAAAATGAACAAGTGATTTGTTGAAGGACCTCGTCTACAATACAGCTTTGCAAATAAAGAATACTACCAATGTGGTATGTTGTAATTACCTTCAACACATTAAGAGCATTCCAATTTATTCTATATGGAATAGGTGATGCTGGTGTTAACTACCCGACAAGATTTTGATTCTAGCATGACGGGCAGTCACCTTTGTCAATCTCACGATTCGCTAAGCGAAAGTTTATACTTCTGCAAATTGAGAATATTTCAAGTTACAATTATTCGTACATTGATCCCCGTATCCGAAATAATATCCATTTAACAACTAGAAAGAACGTGCGATAATGGCGGCTTTAATTTTCTTACTTTTGATACGTGTACCTGGGATTGCTGAGCGTTTATAAAAACCGCCCTTCTTGCATATTTACCTTTTCATTTATCTGCCAGCGGTACTATCTCGGGCTGGTCTTACTAATGTGTGTCTGTGGTTGTATTCTAAGACTAATTTGATGAGCAGAAGGCTTGCTTGCTGGCTTCGATCAGTGGTGCGTTAATACTTTGGTCCAAGCCCAAGATCTTCAGCATATTGTCGAATTGATCGCTGGTCTGTTTGAATAAGATATCATGATGTTTAGCAACTAATGAACGAGAGACATAAATATCAACTGAACTTTAACGGACATACGGACATACGGACAGCGTGCTTAAGTTATGAACAAGGAGCGCACACAGAATTGTGGCGAGGTATTGCCACCGTAAAGCACCAACGAAGGTACAGAATAAACAGAGCAACTATGTCAGGCATTCAATACAGTACACATGAAGCGGGGTTTGATATCTTCAGATCAGCAGTCAACCAAATTGAATTCGACCAAACCGCATTTACATATCATATCTAAACAAAATTGGTCCATTCAATACAATACAAGCAGACACACCAACTTTCGTCAACTATATCCACTGATACTTAATTATTTACATAGAGACGTTCCGACAGGCTAACACCCTTGCTCGCCTACTACACAGAATGTTTCGAAATTGTATCGAAACCAACGAACAAAATATTATATTTCGCTTGGGATGATAATGCGATGAGACTGTCTGACTCATGAGTTTCTCTGTTCTTCAATACTTTCCTGATTCCTCTATAGTCTGTGGTATATGTTATCCGACAACAAATCAAATTAAAAAGTCTATCTTTAGACCATCGAGTCATCGAATACAGATGGAAATATGCGTGATGTATTTATTTACTTTTCATTTTCATGACCCTCTCTCTTGCTCTCTCCCTCTACTCTCTCTCCGCCATAGTATTTAAATATATATAGAGAGAGAGAGAGAGAGTGCGCAAAGTATCTATTGTCGGCAATCATTCGATCCACCGGTCACCTGCAAAAGTAGTATACAGTATGTGAGATATGCAATAAAGATTCAGTACTAGGGGACCTATGAGATAATTACACATCGGTCGTGCTCATTGATTAATATTGTCCAACATTATCTTTTGAGATCTCTTGGACGAAACGAGCGCTTGTGCATAAATGGGTATTACCAATATTTATATATATATATATATATATATATGTGTGTGTGTGTGTGTGTGTATGTATGTATGTATATATATGTGTGTGT